CAGGCTCTGAGCTGGCAGTCAGCACAGAGCCCGACGCGGGGCTCGAACCCACGAACGGTGAGATCATGACCTAAGCGAAAGTCGGACGCTCAACCGACTAAGCCACCCAGGCGCCCCTATTTGTTTTCATTTCATTCATTCTATTCTTCAGCTCTATAATTTTTGTTTGGTTATTTTTTTATGATTTCTATTCCCTGTTAAAATTCTTGTTTTGTGTATTGTTTTCCCGATTTTGTTTAATTTTCTGTGCTTTCTTGTGGCTCACTAAATTTCCTTAAAACAATTAATTTGAAATGTTTATTAGAAAAATTGCATATCTCCATGTCTTTGGGGGTCAGTTTCTAGAAAACTGTATTCCTTTGGTGATGTCATATTTCCCTGATTTTTCATGTTCCTTGTGGTATTGATTTGCCCTCATGGCATTTGAAAAAGCATTCACTTCCTCTAGTCTTTATTGACTGGCCTCTTTTCTCTATGCAACTAACCGTGGATATTTTTTCCCTGGGTGATCTAGAACTTTTCTGCTGGACTTTTGAACTTTCACAAAAGCACACTAATCTGTGGGTGACTGTCAAAATCAATGTTCTTCAGGGGGAAGACAGTTGAAAACTATTCTGCCATCTTGATGATGTCCTCTAAGAGGCAATTTTAAAAGGCAGTAAATATCAGAACTACAAAGGTAATGAGTACCAACAAATGATATGAAAATATTAGGGGGAAAGTTTGGGAAGTGTTCATTTTAATTTCTCTCAATTAAGCTTTTTTTTTTATTTTGAGAGTACAGCAGATTTATATGCAGTTGTAAGAAACTATACAGAGATATACTTTGTATCCTTTACTCAGTTTCTCCATTGATAGCATTTTACAAAACTTTAGTACAATTTTACAACAAGGATTTTAACATTGTTACATGACAGAGCCAAGAGATAGAACATTTCTGTCATCACAAGATCACTCTTGTTACACTCCCATAACCACACTCCTCTCCTGTCCTCACCCCCTCCTTAATCTTTGGCAGCCATTAATCTGTTTCCCATTATGAAATGATATCATTTCAAGAATATTATATAAATGGGGTCATACCATATATAACGTTTGGGGATTGGCTTTTCTCACTTAGCATAATTCCTTGGAGATTCACCCAACTTGTTGTATGTATCAATAGTTGGCTCATTTTTACTGAGAGGTAATATTGTATGATATGGATATACTATAGTTTGCTTAATTACTCACCCACTGAAAGATATGTGGGTTGTTTACAGTTTGAGCCATTCTAAATAAAGCTGCTATAAACATTTGTTTAGAGGTTTTTGTGTGAAAGTAACCTTTCATTTCTCTGGAAAAAATGCCCAGGAGTATAATTGCTAGGTTATATGGTAATTGCATGTTTTGTGTTTTAAGAAACCACCATACTATTTTCCAGAGTGGCTATATCATTTAGCAATCTCTCCAGCAAGATATAAATGATTCCATTCCTCTATGCCCTTCCCAGTGTTTGGTGTTGTCACTTTTTTTTTAGCCTTTTTAATAAGTATGTAGTGATATCTCATTGTGGTTTTTATTTGCGTTTCTCCAATGATCAATAATGTTGAACATCTTTTCATGTGTTTAACTGCCACCCATATATTCTCTTCAGTAAAATATTTATTTTTTGCCTATTTTCTAACTGAAGTGTGTAGTTTTTTACTATTGAGTTTCTACAGTTCATTACATCTTCTAGAGAATAGTGTTTTGTCAGATACATGACTTTCAATTATTTTCTCCTAGTCTTTAGTTTGTCTTTCATCCTCTTCATGTAATCTTTTACAGAGCAAAAATTTCTATTTTGAATAGGTACATTGTATCGATTTTTCATTTTGTAGTTCAAGCTTTTGGTGTCAAGTCTAAGAACTTCTTTGCCTAGCCTTAAATACTGATGATTTTCTCCTTTTTAAAAAAGTTTTTTAACTTTAAATTTAAGTTCATTATTCATTTTGAGTTCATTTTTATAGGTTATGAGTTTAGGTTGTTTTGTTTTGTTTTGTTTTTTGGTCTATGGCTAATGTAGCATTTGTTGAAAAGGTTGTCCTTCCTCCACTAAACTTATTTTGCCTCTTTGTCAAAAATTACTTGGGGATACTTATGTAGATCTATTTCTGGTTTCTATATTCTGTTCCATTGATATAATATGTCTATTTTCTGCCAATACCACATTTTCTTGGTTACTGTAGATATATAATTAGTGTTAAAATCAGGATAGACTGATTAACTTTATTCTTCATTTTCAAGATTATTTTAGTTATTTCAGGATATTCATTTGATTTTGAGCTGGTCCTACAGCCTCTGGAGATGGGAGCTGTGCTCATGGCCCTAGAGAGTCCCATGATGACATACTGAAATAGGTTGATAGACTAGGAATTAGTATTCAAATTCCAAGAAGTTATATGTCAATTCTTAAAACCAAGAAGACATTAAAAAAAAAACCCACAAGACTAAGAATTAGTATTCAAATTCCAAGAAGTTATGTATCAATTCTTAAAATCAAGATGATACATAAAGGTAAAAAGGCCTTCCTTGGAGTTAGGCTCTGTCCTCTTTGCTTATCTTATAGCCAGGCTTCCCCTCCTACAGAGCAGTAGACTGAGTTGATAAGGGCCATGGAAAGGGACACTACAATAATTAGCTTATTCAATACATCTTCATTAGAGAATTCTTAATATCAATGCTCCCATCACTTCCAGGAAGGGGTCATTGGAAGAGTTAAGGAAATTGGCTTTTATGGGTATCTGAAAGAATTCCCTTCTTGTTCTTCCCATGTACATAATATAACTATTAAATTCCTAAGTTTGGCAACTTCTTCCACATATGCAGTTCTCTCAAGTTTCAAAATATATTCGTCATCACAGTCCTATACTAGGAGAGTCTTGAAAACTAGAAACAGAAATAATGGAGATCTGTAGAAATTCTGGGAAGTTTGTTATTTTTTTAATGTTCTTATTTTATTTCTGAGAGAGACAGCATGAGCAGGGGAGGGTCAGAGAGAGAGGAAGACACAGAATCCGAAACAGGCTCCAGGCTCTGAGCTAGCTGTCAGCACAGAGCCCGACGTGGGGCTCGAACCCACGAACTGTGAGATCATGACCTGAGCCAAAGTCAGTCGCTGAACCTACTGAGCCACCCAGGCGCCCCTGGGAAGTCTGAAACTAAATGAGTTTCTTTGAAAACTTTAGAATTGCTGAATCAGTGTGTAGATATTGGGGAATAAGAGAAGACCTGAAAGGAATAGCCTTATGACTAGACAGGGTGGAAAAGGAACCTGACACAAAGGCTTGGTATGAATGAACAGGACTGTTTTCTGGTTTGTTGCTTTATGGAAGCCCCTTTGCTTTAAGAGTTTGTACTGAAAAGACCAGCCAGTATTTAATAGGCTTGAGGGAACCTGCCCTGAGGTAAAGGGGTACAATCCCAAAATGAAGGTCAGTGTGGTGAAGACAGTGGATGTAATCATAGTGAGAAAAGCTCAGGGGTTAAGAGCTTCCAGGAAACAGGCAGAACACAAGGACAGTAGCTTCTTTGTAGCATGAGGACTCCCCAACTGGCTGGGGTTCTTTTCTACTTATATCTCTAAGGAATGGGTACATTCTCTCACAGTGTTCCCCTACTCATACAGATCATATCTATACTGACATTAACTTCAGATAGCTTTCTAACACTGTCTTTCATGTTTTCACTCCCAAGTGGTTAACAATGATTGCCTTTAATTCCCTACCTAAAGATAATCATATTTCCACGATGATGGAAAAAGCAAGTGAGTGCCTCCCTCGGGCAAGAAACAATAAGCAGTTAAAAGGAAGGCATGTCTAGCCAGAGGGACCACAACTAGGTGCACTGTTTAATTGGAAATCAGATATTCATAGCTACTCAACCTCCTCAGTGTAAAGGAGCTTCATTTGGGAATAATTAAGGGTGCTCTATGTGGCTGCTAGAATTTCAGGCAACTTGAATTTAATAATTTTGTATGGGGACTCATTCTGAACCAAAGAGTCAACTGAGAAAGCAGAAGGGTGTGGGGAAAGTGAGTTCTCATTAAGATCACCTACCCCTGGGGAAAATGACAAATGCCTGTCCGTAGGAGAAGTAGCTGTCAGTAATTGAGGTGAGACAAAAAATTGAGCTGTTCTTTCCTAGCACAGAGAATCAGTAGAACCCTGAGATGGAGAGGGAAGAACACTGGACATGGAATTAAAATGAGTTAAGTTCACAATCAGTTCATCCCAAAATATCTTGTTTCCTAATCTGGAAAATGAGGCTAATAATGCCTACCTTTTCAGAAGTACCATAAAGATGAAATTAAAGAACTTGTATAAAATGACTGGTAATGAATAAAATAAAGGATAGTTACTTCCTTTTGTTCACCCAAACATTTTAATTTTGTCTAGTTCATGAAAATGAGAAAATAAAGCTTCATTTCATATTCAAATTGATTCTCAAGTTATTTTCCTTTTTAAAGTACTTTTATGGTTCAGAGAAAGGAAATGAATATCTGAATCTTCTGTCTTGGTCCAGTTTGAAGTTCTCCATTATGATTTGGGACTCCTGATTTTCCAAATGTCCCCAAACAAATGAAAGAAAATTGTGTATATATTCCAAATATATTTGTAGTTATTAATAAAATGTACACAGTATTGTCCATCAGTCTCTAAATTGTGAATGAAGTTTAGTTTCTTTCTTTCTTTTACTTACATAAAAATAAAAGGAAACAAATTCTATTTTTCCTGTACCCAATGAACTATCTTGGACATAAGTACCTTACACTATTTATTCCTAAACCTTATTCCTTTAAGAGCATTTGCTGTCTCTTGTCAGGAACACCTTGAAACCCAGATACTCCCCACCACCCCAAATTAACTTTTGCATGGAAACAAGCCTGGGGATATGCAGTCACAAAGTTTATGGCTTCACAAGCTCACAAAGAGAGTGAGTAGATGTGATGGGAGTGGGGGTGTTAAAGGCAGCTTTACCTTTTTGTTTAGAGACTTTTCTCACAGTCATTGCAGCCTGCCTCTTCTGGTTTTCAGAAATTTCAAAGCCTATAATATAAAAACACATGACTTTGTTATAAGAAACACAGACTTTTCTTAAATGTATAAATTAGTTCAACTTTTCTTAAAGATTAATTTTGGCAAGATATATCAAAAGTCTGGATAAATAAATAAGCAAATAAATGGTGAGAAGCTTGAACAAATACTCAGCTACAAACATGGTTTTCACCCTATACAGGGGCAAAAAAATGTGAGAATATGAGTCAAGATGATGATAAATTAAGAATGGATGAAAAAAGTATGGCATAAAGTGGAAAAAAATTTCACAACCAAAAGCAAAAAACAAAAACAAGGAAATAATGAGGCAAAATATAAGAGATTAAAGCAAAATTTTTGTAAAGAAAATTTCAAATGGAAGAAAATACAAATGGCAAAAAGTAATGACATAATATAAATGTGTATTCAAGTCCTTTGTCCATTTTTAAAATTTGCTTAATGTTTATTTTTGAGAGAGAGACAGACAGACAGGCAGACAGACAGCATGAGTGGAGGAGGGGTAGAGAGAGAGGGAGACACAATCCAAAGCAGGCTTCAGGCTCTGAGCTGTTAGCACAGAGCCCAACGCTGGGCTCAAGTTCAAGAAACCTGAGATCATGACCTGAGCTGACATCAGATGCTTAACCCACTGAGCGACACAGGCTATTTTTGAAATTTTTATTTTTGTCTATTTTTAAAATTAACTTATGTGATATTTTCCTGTTGAGTTGTAGGATATACTTATATATTTTGGAAATTAACCTCTTATAATTTATATATACTTATATATGTTTATAATTGGCAAATATTTTTTTCTGATGCCTTAGGTTGCCTTTTCATTCTGTTTCCTTTGCTGTGTAAAAGCATTTTATTATGATGCAATTTTGCTTTGTTGCCTGTGCTTTTGGTGTCATATCCAAAGATCATTGGCAAGACCAATGCTAAGAAGCTTTGTCCCTATGTATTCCTCTAGAAGTTTTATGGTTTGGGGTTATCCAAGAAAGTATTTGATACATTTTGAATTAGTCTTCATGTATGGTATAAGGTAGGAGTTCAATTTCTTCCACTTGCATGTGGATATCCAGTTTTCCCAGCACCATTTATTGAAGAAACCATCCTTTCCCAATCGTGTATTCTTGGTACCCTTGTCAAAGATATGTTGACTGCATATGTGTGGGTTTGTTTCTAGTCTCTCTATCCTATTCCATTGGCCTATATGTCTGTCTTTATGCCAGTACCATACTGTTTTAAATAATATAGCTTTTAATATATTTTGATTCAGGAAGTATGATGCCTCCACTTTAATCTTTCTCTCAAATATCTTTAGCTATTATGGGTCTTTTGTTGTTCCACATGAATTTTAGGATTGTGATTTCTATTTGTATAAAAAATACCATTGGACTTGGGGTAAGATCACATTGAATCTGTAGACGGCATTGGACAAAATAGATATTTTAACAATATTAAGTTTATTTATTTGTGTGTTCTTTAATTTCTTTCAGCAAGGGTTTATAATTTTTGGTGTAGAAATCTTTCACCTCCTTGGTTAAGTTTATTCTTAAGTATTGTATTCATTTCGATTTGATTATAATTGGGAATAGTGTATTTGCTTAATTTCTTTTTCAGATAGTTCATTGTTAGCATATAGAAACACAACTGATTTTTGTATGTTAATTTTGTATCCTACAATTGTACCGAATTCATTTATTAGATATAAAAGTTTCTGTGGCGTTTTTAAGGTTTTCTCTTTATAACATAATGTCATCTACAAACAGAAATAATTTAAAATCTTCCTTTCCCATTTGGAGGACTTTTATTTTCTTCTTGCCTAATTTTCTTAGGCTTGGAATTCCACTACTACATTGAATAGAAATGGTGAAATCTTTGTCTTATCATTGATCTAAGAAAAAAAGCTTTCAGTTTTTCCCCCTTGAGTATGATGTTAGTTAGCTGTGGGGCCTTTTTTTTTTTTTTTAATATTTTTTATTTATTTCTGAGAGACAGAGAGAGAAACAGCGTGAACAGGGGAGGGTCAGAGAGAGAGGGAGACACAGAATCAGAAGCAGGCTCCAGGCTCTGAGCTGTCAGCACAGAGCCCAGGGCTCGAACCCACAAACCATGTGATCATGACCTGAGGTGAAGTTGGATGCTTAACCGACTGAGCCACCCAGGCGCCCCACAGTGGGGCCTTTCATACATAGCCTTTATTATGTTCAGGCAAATACCTTCTATACATAGTTTGTTGTAAGTTTCTTTATCATGAAAGAATGATAAATTATATCAAATCATTTTTCTGCATCTATAGATATGATCATGTGATTTCTATCTCTCATTTCATTAGAGTGATGTATCACATTAATTGATTTGCATATGTTAAACTATCCTTGCATCCCAGGGATAAATCCCACTTGTTCATGGTATATGATCCTTTTATTGTGCTGCTGAATTCTCTTTGTTGCTGTTTTATTAATAATTTTTTCATGTATGTTCACCAGGGATATTGGCCTTTAATTTTCTTCTACTGGGAGACTTAATATTGTTAAAATATCCATTCTGCCAAAGGAATCCTATCAAAACTCCAGTTTCATTTATACAAGATATGAATAAGTTCTAGAAATCTGTTGTACAACATTGAGCCTATGGTTAACATTATATATTATGCACTTAAAAAATTGTTAAGAGCATAGAACTCATGGATTTTTAGCACTTAAAAAATAGGGTTAAGGTCTCTCCAGGAAGGAGAAGAAATTCTGTCTCAGCTTCAATCCATGTATGCAGAGTCCCATTCTTCTCATGATCTTCCTGCCTACAGATGACAGCTTTGGACTATGCCCTTGAGTTTGAGCTTGCCCATGATCTTGCATTCTGACTGCCTGCTCCATAGATTTTGGAGTTGCTTAGCTGGGTTTTTCAATCATATCAGCCAATTCCTTATAATAAATTTCTTAAATAGTAATGCATCTCCTATAAGTTGTGTTTCTCTCGTTGAACCCTGACTGATAGAAGAAGTTATAGTTATATAGTCTATATTCTTCACCTGGAGAGTTACTTATGATGAATTAGGTTTAAAAAAAAACAAGTTACAGAGTAATATGTTTGGTATAATTTTTGTAATTAAATTTAAAAATGTCTTATGTGTATATATGTTTATATTAACATAAGTATGGAAATAGGCACTCCAAATTTATACCGATTATCTCACACAGCATGAGAGTGACAGAGAAGGAAAAATATTGCTAACACTTCTTTATTACATTTTGGTATGTGTTTAAATAGTTATTATGTCTAGGTATTTATTTTATCATTAAGAAATAAAAATAAAAAAAATTATGATAAATTTATGTGGCAGCAATAAAAATATGATTAAAAATATTAAGTGACTTAGAGAAATACTAATTATATGATTTTAAATGCAAAATAAGGATATAAAATTAGAACTATTCATCATGGAGAGGTAAAGTTTGAGGGAGACAGAAAGAAAGATTCAGCAATCCTAGTCCTAATTTTTTTTATTTAGACACATTATAAAAACATAGGAAGGAAGTATTTCAAAATGTTTATAAAAGTTATCTTTCTCTGGGTAGAATGTTCTTGTGTTATTTTTATTTTTTCTTATAGTTTTCTGTGTTTTCCCCCAAAATTGCCTAAAATTAAAGTGTTATAATTAGAAAAAAAAACATTGTTTTCAAAAAGATAAACATGTCTGTCAGAAAGTAATTTCTATAGCTCCATCCACATTGCTGCAAATGGCAAGATTTCATTCTTTTATTTCATTCTTTATTATGGTTGAGTAATATTCCATTGGTGGGTGCAGATGTAAAGTCTGATGCTAAGCAAAATAAGTTAAAGAAAAATACCATATGATTTCCCTCATAGGTGGAATTAAATAAACCAAACAAATGATCATAGGGAAAAATAAGAGAGTGACAAATTAAAAAAAGTAGACTCTTTAACTATAGAGAACAAACCAATAATTACCAGACAGGAGGTAGTCAGGCAGATGGGTTAAATAGGTGATGCAGATTAAGGAGTGCACTTGTAATGAATACTGGATATGGTATGAAAGTGCTGAATCACTAAATTGTACACCTGAAATTAATATTATGCTGTATGTTAACTAACTGGAACTTAAAGGAAAACCTAAAAAAATTAAAAAAAAAAAAGAAACTAATTTCTGGAAGCTTTTCTATTAGAAGCAGATTCTTAAAGTTACAGGTTATTAGGGCATTGTGTGGGAGATATCACACTGGAATCAGATGGAATGGTGGGGATCTTCTAGTTGATACAGGGTCTGCACAAACCACACTAAGACAATTCTTTTAATAGCTGTAACAACCTAAGTGGTATCAGAGGCTGCTTCTGCCTACCATTGAGAGAAGCAGCCAAGTAGCATTTCTGTACCACTCCACATCATGTCCCATTGCAGTGCTCACATATTAAAAGCAATTTGGTTTCAATGGGACTCAAAGTGAATTATTAATGGGCACTCCACACAAAACCCTAGGGAAAAACTAGGATTAGACTAAGCAGTGTCTTTCTGATCATTCTTCCTTATTTTTCAGCTATTTAAATACCCAACACTGAAGGATAGAAGAATCCATTTGTACCAGGACTCAATGGCTAGGCCTATTTTTCTAGAGGCATTTTTCTACCCGCTTGAACATACAAGTGTTTTAATACAAAATTATACTCTCATTAAGAGTGAGGCAAAAACAGAAACTGTCTTCTCAGAGAATTACAAAGCCTAGCTGTTTGGTATTTTTATGCCAAAATGGCAGGACCATGAGCAAGAGACCGGATAGTACTTTGTAAACCACAAAGCTATAGTCAATGGGATCTAAATCTCATAGTTGGAAAGCACCATGAAAACTCTCTCTACTAATTATGCACTCTTTCAAAAAGGAGAACAATCTGTTTAAAGCCCAAAATGTATGGTTTACTGTGACTCTAAATCATGCAAGTGATTATGGTTTTAGACCCAGTTATATTTTCTACAATTTACTTTCATACAGACAGTGTGATATATACATGCACATTAATTTTAACCTATGCTCTAAGAGCATTTACTTAACATCTGAAGTGCCCTAATCTGGCATATACACTCAAGAGGTGATTTGTTAACACATTAAACACTCAGAAGTCTTTGCTCCAGAGGCCATTACTACCAGCAGTTCAGTCACCTTAACAGGAGGCCTAGTTAGCCTAACACATGCTTAAAATGAATTTTTATTGGTAAAATGAATGTTATTTAAGATGTGGACTAGCCACAAATGTCTTACAGGCTTTTTAGCCCTCACAAGAACTGGTCATAAAAATACAGTGGGCCCCATAGCCTGTATCCTTCAGAAGGAAGTCTCAAGTCAATATTGAAAACAGGTGCTATGCCTTGTGCCCCATCAGAGGATTTTGTCACCAGATTCTTCTTACTAGAAAGTTAGTTGAATGCTGTCGTTATATCACCAGCTCTTCCTTGACTAACCTTTACACAGAAGATACTGCCATGTATCTAAGAACAGAACCAGGACTTCATTGAAATTATAGAACAGGTTGTATGACTGCTTTTGTGTTTGTTTGCTAATAAATGCTTGTATGTTTGGGAGAATTGAGATTGAGGTTTGCTTTCAGTGTAATAGTTTTATCTAGTCATGAAACTGTAAGGGAGGCCAAATTTTAACTCTCATTTAACCCTGACTAGTAGAAACTACTAGTATCTGCCAAAAAGGACCTAATAATATGAAACTACCAAAACGGATTAGGTCAGTTTGCAACAGAAATCTTCCCTCTGCTTCTAGAAAAGTAAAAAATAATTTAAATCCTCTATGTTCTTCATAGCCATATTCTTCTTTCTCTTCTCAGGTCACTTACCTATTTTTTCATCTTCCTGTACCATTTTTCTTTCTTCTCTGAAAGCCCTGAGCCAGCGTATCTTCTCCTCCAGCTTCTTGGCAAAGAATAGATGTATCTCCTCAGTCTCCTTGTTGTGAAGTTTGAAGGCATTTTTCATGCTGACATTAAAGTCATCATCTCTGCCATCTTCAATGTCAACTACCTCATATTTGTCCATGTCAATGCGGCCTTTGTAGTACAGGATGTCTCTTCGAATCAGGTCCTAGGTGGAAGGAATAAAATTCTTTTTTACTGGAGGTATATGGAAAGTAGGTACCAGGAAAGTTGGCACGTGGACACAATAGGATGCTGACTGCCACTATTTTGAAGTACAAATAGGGGTTGTTTTGGCCAAATTTAAGCAGTTCAGCTTAGCATTATGACATTGACAGGTTGGTTAGAAGATGCTCTTACAGAAAGCCTTTGCCCTACATCCAAAGACTCTGTCTCAGACTCCTGCATCAAGCCTTATATGTATTAATTTGTAAGACTCTGATGGGAAGTATGAAGCAGTAAGCCACACAAGCATTGCTAGCATAGGCCTTTTCCAAAAATATTTGCAAGCCTTATAGAAGTATGAAATAAGCTGGATGGTTTCCTGGAGCATACTTAGGAATTCAAGCCAGCAAGTGAGACCTGCATATCAGAGTGGGTATGTGCGGTGAGAGTAGCAAGGTGGCCACAGGCTGCTGGCCAGGAATGATTCCATGGAGAGGGTTTAACACTTAGCACTCTGGGGAATTTTGGAGAATGCCTAGTGTGGAAGGAGAAATGGGGGTAAGATTGAATAAAAAGCTTCATATATTGATGGATAAATTTCACAAACCCTACTGAAAGAGAAAAATAAAAGCTATAGATGGATACAAACAGTATATTGCCTTTTATTATTTTTGTTTTACTCTCTGGTATACAGAATTGGATTAATACTCTTAGTCCATGAGACAGTCATCATTAGTCCATACAGGGTACTATTACTTCTCTATTTATTATTTACTTTTAATAATAATTAAGTTTTGGTGAACCTGCCACCAAAAGCTATGATGCCACAGGAATCTTAAATCCCATGCTCATCATTCTCCTGGTTACATTTCTATACAGTTTTATCTCATCTACATATATTATACTTATATAAGGCTTATTTTTTAAAAAAAAATTTTAATGTTTTATTTCTGAGAGAGAGAGAGAGAGAGAGCATGAACAGGGGAGGGTCAGAGAGAGAGGGAGATACAGAATCTGAAACTGTCTCCAGGCTCTGAGCTGGCTGTCAGCACAGAACCTGATGTGGGGCTCAAACCCACGAATTGTGAGATCATGACCTGAGTTGAAGTCGGATGGTTAACCGACTGAGCCACCCAGGCGCCCCACTTATATAAGGCTTAAAAAGCTACGAAGAAATGCCACATAATGTTTAGGGATCCACACTTATGTACAGAAATCATACAAAAAATATGCAATGACACATGCCAAATTCAAGAGAGTACAGAGAGGAGAATGGGAAAATGGAAGGAATGAAAAGAAGGGAGGGAGCAGAGAAGGAGAGGGGAAAGAATATATCTGTAATGAATTAAGTTGGATAGTAAGTACACAGGTGCCCATTATATTATTTTTGCATCTTTTTGAATGTAATATTTCACAAATTAACAAAATAAAACCAGAGGGATGTATGATATGACCTGTAAACCTGTGGGATGTAAAGTATGTTAAGTAAGTGTCTTTCAGCTCCTCTTCCTCTTAGCACTGCTCTTGGCTTCCCCTGAGAGCACATCTGCTGCTGGAACATGTGATGTGGCTGAGTCTGGCCAAGGAGGTCCCACGAGCCCTGTCTTGATGGATTTCTTCACTGGCCAACTCGATCTGACAAACTCTCCCTCCTCTCTGCTTATATTTGTCCTTTTAGACAATTTGGCAGAATTAGAAATGCTCTTTAACTTTCATTAACATTATATAGTTTGGTTAAACTACTCTCATTTTGCTGAATTGCCTTGCATGTCTCATTTCTCTTTTTCTACCTGAAAAGAATTTGCTTTTGTAATCCTAACTCTTCACACTGTATGGTAAACTGGGCTTTTTGGTATGTCTGGGGAAGGCTGTCTTTAAGAATTCCCAACATAGCTCTGTCAATCTTGAAGCTCCAGGCTGTGAAATATAGGTGTTGTTGAATTGCTTTGCAAAAAATGACCTCCACATTGTTCTTTTCCCTCCCATAATGATTGTACATATAAATAAGCTATAAGTATAGATGAGTTCTGATCTGTTGGGTTCCACTGGGATCAAGTTTACAAGAGAGGAAAAGGTCAGATATACAGAGAGGGCCAATGTTGCTCCAAGCTTGCTTCAGAGCCTGGGTTCCTTTTACCATGCTCAAAGTGGACAAATTCAGTCCTGGCCAAAAGGATGGGGTAGTTCCCATGCACTGACTTACACAATCCTCAGGAACACTTTGTGAGATTTTTGCGTAAATAGTGGGCTTTGTCAGTCTAATCTAGAAATCAGGACAAGTTAAAGAGAATGGATTGATGTGATCTAGTTTGATCTCAAAAGTCTGAAATATGTCTTACAATACTTAATATAAATACACATAGACCTGGGAAGCCAGGTTTGGACCACACAGTTAATAGGTGGGTGCCTACCTGACTAGAACATACGAAGTTTTAACCTCCCTTCTATTCCCAACTTCACCTATGAGACAAGGAAAATGAAGAACTCCATAAAATCTGCTTTTAGCTCCTTTTCCTGCTTCTATTTTCACTAGAACTTGCATCCCCACCTCACTTTACACATGCCTTGTAATACAAACAGCATTTGTCCTCCTTGTAAGGGAAAAGGAGTTAATGATTTCTCTATAATATGTAACATCTAAGAAATGACAAGAAGAGAATGACTGGACAGTTATCATTTGCATATTCCAGAGAACTGTAACTAGACATCTCAATGCTAAGGCCCTCTGACTCCAAGGAATAATATGTGGGCCCTCATATTTGTTCTAACTGGTACCTGAAGGCCTGAGAGGATACATACACCAGACTACCACCCTAAATAAAATCCCCAGACCCTGAACAAAGACGAGACTCCCTCCTTTCCTTTCTGAGTCTCCCAGACACTCTGTGTCTGCTCTCTCTCTCTCTTTTTTATTTCTATCTATTTTCAAAAAACTCTGCTTTCCCTCTCCTGCTGGCTCACATTTGATTTTCATCATTTGCGAAGCCAAATACCCTCTCGGCTGGTCCTGCAGGACCTGTTTGGGTCTCTGGACCCAGCCTGCCAGCATCACCTGCAGCTTCCTTTATCTCTGAGATGGTGTGTCATTATTATTGTCAGTCTTCAAAACCTTTACTGGTTAAAAAAAAAAAAAAAAAGGAAAGGATGTACATGATCTTGGAGCTAAATTAAAAGCATGAACTGAAACTCCTATTGTTTCCTTAGGTATTTAAGGATAACAAGAAACTTGAGAGAATTCTGCCTCTGTTGTAGGTAAGCAGGATTAGAGAACGTTTCATTAACGTTCTTCCTTCGTCTGCTCTTTCTAGCTCTCCAGAGTTTTTAGGTATCAGCTTAGTCATAAATTCAGGTTTAGGAATGTGATAGGAATGATGAAGAATGACCCACTGTTCAAAAAGTCCCATTAGAAATGGTAGCTAAGGCCACAAAGCATCATGTAACTTCCACAAAAGGAGTGTGAGTTAAAGTCTAAAGCTCTGGGTTTGAGTTCTAGCTGCTTAATCTGCTCGCTGTGGTTTTTTTTTTTTTTTTTTTTTCGGGCAAGCCATTTTATCTCTCTGAACTTCAATTATCTCAACTACGAAACTAGACAAGTTATCCTTACCTTGTAAAATGGTTATAAAGCTCAAATCTAAACATGCAGTTTCCAGGTCATGAGGACACCCTTGTCTGATAAATATGGTGCTGAGCTTTCTTGCTCCCAGAATGATGTTTTGTGGACCTTTAAAACTCCTTTCTAGGGGCGCCTGAGTGGCTCAGTCGGTTGAGCATCCGGCTTCGGCTCAGGTCATGTTCTCGCGGTTCATGTGTTCGAGCCCCGCACCAGGCTCTGTGCTGACAGCTAGCTCAGAGCCTAGGGCCTGTTTTAGATTCTGTGTCTCCCTCTCTCTCTCTGACCCTCCCCTGCTTGCGCTGTCTCTCTCTCTCAGAAATATAAAAAAATTTTTTTTTAAAAAACCCTCCTTTCTGATAAACCTAAAAATCTCACTGCCTGCTTTAGTCCATTTAAACTTTCAAAATAAGTTAAATATTGTGACAAAGAAATAAAGCAAAGCCAACTGAACATCTTAAAACTTACATGACTATACCATTGTCCTTGGAAATTCCATATACAATTCCAGGGTGGGGGTTTTCACAGATATATACTTAAGCTTACACTAATGTGCCCTCACTGCCCCAACAATGCCTCCTATTCCAATCATTCTAGACTTCATGGTCAAATTTACACATTCTTTCTCCTCAAAGAAGCCTTACCTGACTGCATCTTCTAGCTCAAATCATTCTGGTTTCCCTTCTCTAAATGCTAGCAGTGATTATGAAGACCCTTACACAACTTACACTCAGCCACCACACTGCTGAGTTACATTAGTTCTATTTCACAGTTTTTAGTCTGCCCATTTTAGCTGTGCCCAGTAGTTAGCCTTCCTTGCTTTTGTCTTACTCGGGGGTTGTCCAGGGAAAGACAGATGACAAAGCCTCAGGAATTTCTCTGCTTAGCTTCTGCACATGGCAAAGGGACAAAGCCCTCCTGAACCCTGGTTGGCTGAGTTCCTATTGGAACCAGGCTGCCCAAAAGCCACTTATTAAAGATTGTCTAAGTGACATGGTGAATAGTGCTCAGAACAGATGTTATTTAGGTCATCACAAGTTCCTTGCCTAAATGGGGTTGTTTCTAAAAGGATAACAGCCTTCCTCCTTTTCCCTTCTACTCATCCAAGTTGGAAGATATTAAGGGAGATAGTGTTTTTTCAGAAGGACCCTGGCAGTCTGTAGATAAGCACCAAGCCTAGCCATGGATCCAGCAAGGAGACTATCCCAGTGTCTGATATTACATAATTCAAATAGCTGGGAGAAATTTGAATCTGGTCTCACTGGGTATTCATGTTGTTACTAAACACTGTAAAATGACACTGTAAAACATTTTGTATAAATGACATATGCTGCAATCTGGAGCATGTAACTTTTAAGGACTGTAGCCTCTCTTACTTGCTTGTTAGTAAAGTCTTTCCTCTTTAGAGAGGGACCGTAGTTGTTACTCCACACCCCTAGTCTGGACCACCCTGGGGTTTCTCCAGATCCTGAGGAAGTCACATGGGAATGGACTTGACTTATCTTTCTCATTATTATATTCCAATATCTAGAGTACATTCTTAATAACAAAATAATAACTGCAACAACAATGGCAGCAGTCAACACATAGCATATATCATGTGCCAGACACTATTTCAAATGCTTTGCATTCTCCTCCAGCTATATTGAGGCATATTTGACAAATAAAAATTAAATATATTTAAGGGATATAATGTGGTAGTTTGATATATGTATACGTTGTGAAAAGATCACCATAATCAAGCTAATTAGCTTATCTATCATCTCACATGGTTACTTTTTTGGTGATGAGGAGGGCACTTGTGGGGATGAGCACTGGGTGTGGAAACCAACCTGAGAATAAACTATTTTAAAAATAAAAAATATTAATAATGTTAAATTAAATTAACATGTGCCTGTTCAACCACTGAATATACTGCTTCCCAACAATGATTTGCTGAATAAAGAGTACTAACACCAAAAATACAGTAATAGTATCAATAGCTAGCATTTACTAAGTACTTACTATGTTCCAGGCACTGCAACTCTATTGTTTCTTCTAACCTTCACAACCTCTCTTCTATGTAGATACCATTATGATTTCCATTTTTCAGATGAGGGGATAATACGAGGCATAGGGAATTTGTCCAAGGTCACACAGCTCATGGATAAAAGTTGATTGGTGTCCTTTGTCTGGCCCTAGAACCCATGCTCTTAACACTATACTTCACTACTCCCCATGACCTCAGGTGATCCTCTTTAAAGCTTCCTGAGATGAAATCTATCATCAGCCTGATTTGGCACTGAGAATAATAAGGGCATAAAGTTAAAAAGCTGGCCCAAGTTTAGAGACAGTAAAGTCTAGGACCCAGGTGTTCTGGTTTCAAATCCCCAGCTCCTTTGTCCTCTATCCCCAGTCTCTCTTGCTATTATTGCATTTATGATTCCCAAATGGCTCATCCTCCAAGTCTGGCCCTTCAGTGAAAGAATAAATAGCCCAAATGCAAAAAGTTCCTTGAACTTTCTCCAGCATTATTATACTCTATGTAGTCCTGATACTCCCAGAATAAAATGAAACCTACATAAATAACGACTAATTATAACACAGAGGACAACAGAGTATGTCCATGCTGATATAATTAAAAACAAAGGACAAGGGAAAAAGTTGTCTGGGCCAACTTCAAGGTTGTAGGAACATTAGTGGATGACTGAGGAACAGGAAAGGGGATCTCCTCCCCTCCTGAAAAAAAAATTGAAAGGAAGAAAAAGGAAAAATTCCCCAAAACACCAAATTATTCCCAGTAGAATCATCTCAGGAAGAAAATACCAAAACACATGCATAACTAAAATAACAGGGCAAAGGGATACAGAGGAGCATAGACAGCCATCGTGGAAGACAAGAAAATAGAGAACAAAGTCTTATTCTAGATTTTTGAAAAGAAAATAGATAAAGAGGGAAAACAACAAAAGTTAAAGAAGGGATCACAAAATTAGAAGCCACTGATGTATTCTGACACTTACTATAATGGTCACTTCATTGGGGCTGGGGATGATGGAGAGGGAGGGGCTGATGCTCCTGAGGTGACTATCTCCCTCAGTAAAGAAGGGGTTGAGGTTACCTTCTTGCAGAGGACCATCTGATGGTCAAACAGGAAGAAGACCCGCTGCTGGTTGCGGCCATAGGGCTGGTAGATCCAGGCCATCTCCCCAGTGTAGATCAGCTCCGAGCTCCTGTCTAGGATGTCCTCACCCTGGGAAGAACATGTGATAGTGAGAGGCAGCAAGGAAGGAGGGACGGCCCTGTCACCTGCCTGGAAGCACCTAAGGTTGGGCACAGACTGGGGAAGTAGGAGTATAGAAAAGGCCTGGTCGGAAAGAGGGATAGAGAGAAGGACCCCTGGGAAGTCCTGGAGTTGGAAAGACCCATAGTTTTGCTTATCCTGAGGCCAAATGAGCCATACCACCCAGGACTGCTATAGACCCTCTATGCCAGCTGCTTTCTAGCACTATAGGCACCAAGGTTCATTCTGATTCCATGACATTCATATTCTCATTCTCATTCTCTCTCTCTCTCTCTCTCTCCCCCTCCCTCCCTTCCTCCCTCCCTCCTTCCCTCCCTCTTTTGCTCTATGAATTTCTCTTTCTATATCAGTCCTTCATCCCAGATCTAGTCTCTTATTCTCTTGCTTATACTTGAAGAGTAAGCCTGAGCAAATAACAGAAGTCTGTCTGCTTCCCCGATGAGTAAAAGGGGACAGGGGAGGGCAAGAAAGAAACAATGATAGAGGGAGAAAAAGAAAATACAGTTACTCTCTTACAATTATTTTTTCTTCTCCCCTCAGTTCACTAAAATATATTGATTAAATAGGAAACTTTACAATGACATGATTCTTTGCTGTTATTTACAGCCTGAAACCACTTTTCCTCCTTGCCACATAGTCAAACAAAGAGTACCAAGACATCTAACTCCTAGTTAATTCAATTCTACAGAGTTTCCAAGGCCCCTTCTTTACAGCAACTCTGCTAGGTCAGAGGTATGTGGGGACATATATCAGATGCCAAGCCAGATATGTCCCCTATTCTCAAGGAGCTTACAGTCAGCGGAGGAAACTAATGCAGGTGTGCACAGAAATCATGGAACACAAAGCAAACCACACCAAAGCCCTGGGCATAAGCATGGGTGTCCCAGAACCTATATGAAGATAGGGGCAAAGACCAGTGGCCCAGGACTCAGGAGAATTAATATTAGCACCTATATGCATAAGCCATTGGGCTACATATTTTCACTCTAAACCTTCTGAGCCACAAGAGAACCCTGGGAGGTAGAGATGTTCTTAATCTTATTTTACACTCCAAGGCACAGAGATGTCAGGTGATCAGCTAAGGTCACCCAGCTTGTTAGCTAAAGACCTATAACTCAACCCCAATTCTGTGGCTCCAGAAAGTATGCTCACTCATGCCACTACATTATAATGTCTCTAGGCTAGTCAGTCCCTTCTTTTCTCTGGGTTTCAATTTTTCCAGATACTAAATGAGGTACATGAGGATGATATTCAAGGGCCTAGCCCTGATACTCTAATGCTAAGATGTCAGCCTTGCACCCAAAAGCTTCAAGTCAAGGTTAGAGTAGATCTCTGTATCCCCCCACAAGCAGTCAGAACAAAAAGGCTAGGCATGGCAGTAAGCCAAAAAGAGGGGTAGCTGTAAATGGTGTTTTTAAGCATACCACTTTTTCAGTCTAAGGGATGAGAAGGAAAAGGGAGCTCAGTGGAAGTAATTTCTAATAATATGATCTCAAAAAAGAAAACTCAGAGATATTACTATGATTCCAAACTCTACTTTGTGGGTATCTTGGAATTTAAGTAAACATTCATCCTTGAGGGGCTCACATACTAACACAGAACTTCTGAGACAGGAAGCCCACAGGTAGAGGCATTTGTGTAGGACTTTCCTGTTGGATGGATAATAAGTTGAGAGTGGTACCACTCTACCATGTCCCACCCTAAGGCAGGACACAAGATGTGCCTCAGTCCATTTTGAATATGTATAAAGTGAGGGAAAGCTATAAAAAGGGGTAAATGCCAAACAAAGTTGGCCGAGATAACATTTTTTTCAGGATAACTTTTTTTTCTTCTTTAAATTTTTATTTAAATTCTAGTTAGTTAACATATAGCAGAATATTGGTTTCAGGGGTAGAATTCAGTGATTCATCACTTACATACAACACCCAGTGCTCATCATAAGTGCCCTCCTTGGTAGCCATCACGCATCTAGCCCATCTCTCACCCACATCCTTCTATCAACCTTCAGTTTATTCTCTCTCTTTAAAAGTCTCATGGTTTGTTTCCCTCCTCCCATATGCTCATCTGTTTTGTTTCTTAAATTCCACATAGAAGTGATATCATATGGTATTTGTCTTTCTCTGACTGACTTATTTCACTTAGTATAATATACTGTAGCTCCATCCACATCATTACAAATGGAAGGATGACTTTTAAAATTACACTTGCTAAACTGAGGATGATCAGACCAGGAGACCACTCAATGTCATATGGTCCACCTACCATACCAGACAGGAGCACTCCAATTCTATTTTAAGTACTTGCCACACATTATTCCATGAAGAAAAAAAAAAAGAAAGAATGAAAGAGAGAGAGACAGACAGACAGACAGAGAGAAAGACACATGAAAGAAAGAAAGAAAGAAAGAAAGAAAGAAANACAGACAGACAGACAGAGAGAAAGACACATGAAAGAAAGAAAGAAAGAAAGAAAGAAAGAAAGAAAGAAAGAAAGAAAGAAAGAAAGAAAGAAAGACAAGGAAGGAAGGAAGGAAGGAAGGAAGGAAGGAAGGAAGGAAGGAAGGATAGGAGGGAGTGGGAGGGAGTGGGAGGGAGGGAGGGAGAGGGAGGGAGAGAGGGAGAGAGAAATATACTCCTATGCTCATCAAGCTGATTGATACCAGGCAACTCACATGTCCTCTCTGTGTATCAGTTTTCTCATCTTAATTTTATTTTTTAAATCCTGAGGTCAATTTTTATTTCTACAAAAAAGGCAGTCAAAACAATATAAAACACATGTAAAGAATATTACTGAGTGAGCTTCAAGTGGAGCTTGACTCTGCAAAGACTGTAAGTCCAGAGGGAGAGAGAAGGCCATCTTGTTCCTGGCTTGGCCCGCTGCCCCAAAGGAAGGGACCAGCAGGGCGCCAGCAACTCCAGACTGGTGTTGGCTACAGCCAAGTGTTGCCTATTCTAGACAATTCCAATGCCATAAAGGGTCAAATCATGCCAAGTTAAGGTAGCAGTGGGGCTGTGCTACACTGAGTTTCCTCATCTTTAAAATGAGGGTAATAACAGTACCAATCTCATTTGTCTGTTTTGAGGATTACGTAAATTAATATATAGAAAGTGCTTAGGAAAGTACACTTTACACTGTATGTTCTACAGAAATGCTAGCTATTATCTTGACCATTAATGTATGCTTTATATCCTGTGTCACATATTCCTATTAACACTCACAGCAACCCAATAAGGAATGTACTGTTATTACCCCCAAAACCAAGGTCAGAGAAATTGGGACTAATTTGCTCATAGTGGCAGAATCCAGGCCAGAATACCTCCTAAATCCATGTTCTAATCCACCAAACCACAGTAGAATGATAATCCCTAGTGGAACAACCAGCTATGTTGGAAGATTTCTGAAGTGAGAATCTCAAAAGACTTGGGTTCTGGGCCCAGTGTTGCCACCAACTCGCTCTGTGGCCTTGGGAAGTAATTTAACAACCCTCAGTCTGTTTTCTCAGTTGAACAATGGATAATAGAACAGTTCCTGCTTTGTTCACTTCACATGGCTGCTTGAAAGCACAAATCAGATCATGTAGTAAGGAAAATGGCCCTCTCAGAGTTCAGATTTCTCACCCTTTGCTTCCTCTACCCCACTTGCACCATACATTACTTTGCCTTGTCCCCAAAAGTGCAATCCCCTCCCACTGACACCTCTACCATGAAAATTCTGTTTTTTTCCATTCTCTTAAGATTTTGCACATACCATTCCCTCTGTCTGGAACATATTTGTTCCACTGGAAAACCAATGCCACATCTCATTCATATCAATAGCCCAATGGTCAAGACCCCATTCTAGTTACAGGCTGATTGTTCTGATGGGACGTTGTAGCCTGAGAAGATCCAGGGAAAAAAGGACAAAGGAAATGCCATACTTTTCATACAGTTTATTTTCAATGCTGCCTATTCACAGGAGTGCAGGAAATAAATAAATCCAGCTCCACACATAATCTCCTGGTCCTAGAAGTATTTCTCATCAAGCCACATTCCCTTCTAAATAGATACTTTTGCTGCTTCCATCACATTGGGATTTTTGTGTTTCCTCTGACTTTTTGGATTCAATAATCCAATGGTAAACTGGAACAAGCCTTTGCATATTATGCAAACAGGCTGTGAGGTTAGGGGTGTCATAACAATCATATACAATCAAGTTCCCAAATATAAGCTGTAAATATGGGCTCCTGGTAAACATCTCCAGGGGGAAAAAGATTAAAAGGAAGCTGTCATATGTTTCTTCTCCCTTCAAGTAGATCTAATGAGTGTGAAGGGCAGCAATGTGACAGGTCAATCAAACATAGGTATCAGAGATATTAGAAATGTAAATTTTCCTGAAACTGTAGTCCTTGGAACTCTAAGGTATTGATTACTACTTGGAGGTATGGGTGATACTTTCTCTTTTTTTATGTAGATTTTTTATTTTTTTAATTTTATTTAAATTCAAGTGAGTTAACATATAGTGTATAACACTCAGTGCTCATCATGACAAGTGGCTTCCTTAATGTCCATCACTCATTTAGCCCATACCCCCACCCAACACCCCTTCAGCAACCCTCAGTTTGTTCTCTGTATTTAAGTCTCTAATGGTTTGCTTCCCTCTCTCTTTTTATCTTATTTTTCGTTCCCTTCCCCTATATTTATCTATTTTGTTTCTTAAATTCCACATATGAGTGAAATCATATGATATTTACCTTTCTCTGGCTGACTTATTTCACTTAACATAATACATTCTAGCTCCATCCACATTGTTGCAAAGGGCAAGATTTCATTCTTTTTTACACATGAAACGATGCTCACCATCCCTCCTCATCAGAGAAATACAAATCAAAACCACACTGAGATACCACCTCACGCCAGTCAGAGTGGCTAAAATGAGCAAATCAGAGACCTCTAGATGCTGGCGAGGATGTG